ATACAACCAGAAGGTTTTGTCAATCCTGAAAGATGCTAACAAGTGTGCAAAGCTCCAGCAATCCTTCTAAGGACTGGAGTAAGCATCTCGGAGTTGGAATGTATGCTTTGATGAGATGATCAAAGTTTTGGGTGTATGCAAAATTTATGAGAAACTTGTATCTCCAAAGAAGTGAGTGGGAGCACTATAGAATTTTTGATGAATATATGTTGTTGACATATTGTTGATCAGAAATGACGTAGAATTTCTGGAAAGCATATAGGGTTATTTGGAAAGTGTTTTTCAATGGAAAGCCTGGATTAAGCTACTTGAACATTGAGCATCAAGATCTATAAGGATAGATCAAAACTCTTAATGGTACTTTCAAATGAGCACATACCTTGACATGATCTTGAAGGTGCTCAAGATGGATCAGTCAAAGAAGGAGTTCTTGCCTGAGTTGTAAGGTATGAAGTTAAGACTTAAAGCTCGACCACGGCAGAAGAAAGAGGAAGGACGAAGGTCGTCCCCTATGCTTTTGTCATAGGCTCCATACGGTATGCCATGCTGAGTACCACACCTGATGTGTGCTTTGCCACATATTTGTCAAGAGGCTACAAAGGTGATCTAGGAGTAGATCACCAGATAGCGGTCTAAATTATCCTTAGAGGAATAAGGATATGTTTCTCGGTTATGGAGGTGATAAAGAGTTCGACGTAAAGAGTTACGTCGATGCAAGCTTAACACCTATCCGGATAGCTCTGAGTAGAGATACCGGATACGTATAATGGAGCAACAATTTAGAATATCTCCAAGTAGAACAGTTTTTTGAAATGGCTTCAAATGTAGCGTAGTAGTTGCATCTACAAGATGACATAGAAATTTGCGAAGTACATACGGATCTGAATGCTGCAGACCCGTTGACTGAAACCTCTCTCACAAGCATAACATGATCAAACCCAGAACTCTTGGGTGTTAGTCACATGGGGATGTGACCTTGAGTGTTAATCACAAATCGATGTGAACTGGACTATTGACTCTAGTGCAAGTGGGAGACTGTTGGAAATATGCCCTAGAGGCAATAATAAATTGGTTATTATTATATTTCCTTGTTCATGATAATCATTTATTATCCATGCTAGAATTGTATTGATAGGAAACTCAGATACATGTGTGGATACATAGACAACACCATGTCCCTAGTAAGCCTCTAGTTGACTGGCTCGTTGATCAATAGATGGTTAAGGTTTCCTGACCATGGACATTGGATGTCATTGATAACGGGATCACATCATTAGGAGAATGATGTGATGGACAAGACCCAATCCTAAGCCTAGCACAAGATCGTGTAGTTCATTTGCTAAAGCTTTTCTAATGTCGAGTATCATTTCCTTAGACCATGAGATTGTGCAACTCCCGGATACCGTAGGAGTGCTTTGGGTGTGCCAAACGTCACAACGTAGCTGGGTGGCTATAAAGGTACACTACAGGTATCTCCGAAAGTGTCTGTTGGGTTGGTACGAATCGAGACTGGGATTTGTCACTCCGTGTGACGGAGAGGTATCTCTGGGCCCACTCGGTAGGACATCATCATAATGTGCACAGTGTGATCAAGGAGTTGATCATGGGATGATGTGTTACGGAACGAGTAAAGAGACTTGCCGGTAACGAGATTGAACAAGGTATCAGGATACCGACGATCGAATCTCGGGCAAGTATCATACCGCTAGACAAAGGGAATTGTATACAGGATTGATTAAGTCCTTGACATCGTGGTTCATCTGATGAGATCATCGTGGAACATGTGGGAGCCAACATGGGTATCCAGATCCCGTTGTTGGTTATTGACCGGAGAGTTATCTCGGTCATGTCTGCATGGTTCCCGAACCCGTAGGGTCTACACACTTAAGGTTCGATGACGCTAGGGTTATAAGGAATAGATATATGTGGTTACCGAATGTTGTTCGGAGTCCCGGATGAGATCCCGGACGTCACGAGGAGTTCCGAAATGGTCTGGAGGTAAAGATTTATATATGGGAAGTCCTGTTTTGGTCGCCGAAAAAGTTTCGGGGTTTATCGGTAACGTACCGGGACCACCGGGAGGGTCCCGGGGGTCCACCAAGTGGGGCCACAAGCCCCAGAGGGCTGCATGGGCCAAGTGTGGGAGGGGACTAGCCCCAAGTGGGCTGGTGCGACCCCCACAAGGGCCCAAGGCGCCTAAGGGGAGGAGGGGGGGCAAACCCTAAGGGCAGATGGGCCTTAGGGCCCATGCCTGGTGCGCCTCCCTCTCCCCCTCCACCTGGCCGCCACCCAGATGGGATCTGGGGGCTGCCGCCACCCCTGGGGAGGGAACCCTAGGTGGGGGCGCAGCCCCTCCCCTTCCCCTATATATACTTGAGGTTTGGGCTGCCCAAGACACACGAGTTCCTCTCCTTCTTGGCGCAGCCCTACCCCTCTCCCTCCTTGTCTCTTGCGGTGCTTGGCGAAGCCCTGCTGGAGTACCACGCTCCTCCACCACCACCACGCCGTTGTGCTGCTGCTGGATGGAGTCTTCCTCAATCTCTCCCTCTCTTCTTGCTGGATCAAGGCATGGGAGACGTCACCGGGCTGTACGTGTGTTGAACGCGGAGGTGCCGTCCGTTCGGCACTAGGATCTTCGGTGATTTGGATCACGACGAGTACGACTCCTTCAACCCCGTTCTCTTGAACGCTTCCACTTAGCGATCTACAAGGTATGTAGATGCACTCTCCTTCCCCTCGTTGCTGGTTTCTCCATAGATAGATCTTGGTGACACGTAGGAAAATTTTAAATTTCTGCTACGTTCCCCAACAGATTGTGGTGCCCGGGGCCAGCACGATCCCTCTCCTGGTCCGCCTGTCAACCGTACACCCTCTCTCGTCCACGAGCTCCACCGAGTCCAGGTGCGAGACGAGCACAACCTCCCCGCGACATGGCCTCAGAGTCGTCGCCGCCTGAAGGTTGACGGCGAACCACGCCGGCCATTGTGGAGGGGCGGGATCGCCTGGCACATCGCCAGGGAAACGTGTCGGACCCGTCATCCTCTCCTCTGTGCCATCGCTGGCCTCAGAAGACGCAAAGATAGGTCCTCCAGGAGAGGTATAAACAAACATAATCAAAAGTTGTAATGTTTGACGCACTACATGGATGAAACAGAGGGAGTATAGAGGGGAAACGAGCTATCCAACGGACGAGTGCAAATTGTTTGGGTTACCCGCGACCGCGACTCATCCCCGCACAGCAACCTTTTACCGCTCTCGTCGCCCAACAAAGGGAAGCCAGTGACAGCTAATTACCAGAGTTTGCCTCTTGAGATAAATTAATTACCACAGTTACTCCAGAGTTTGCCCAACAAAGGGAAGCCAGTGACAGCTAATTACCGAGCCCTCACCGACCTACCCCCTACAAAGGCGCGGCGCTAAACCCACCCGTCCCTCACTCCCACATTTCCCACCCCTCCGGCTCCGGACACACCCCCGCCTCCCACCACGCCTCGCCGCCCCGCTCCTCCTCCCCGCCGGGAAATCGGCCGCGCCTCCGCCACCTCCGCCACGCCCGCCCGCCAGCAGCATTCGCCCGTCGGTCCCGAGGTACGCGCGCACGAGGCTGCTTGTCCCTTCCCTCAGCGATTCCCCCGCTTAAATCCGGCCCGGGGGACGGCCTCCGGGCGCGCGCGCGCGCCGTCTAGATCCGCCTCCGCAGGCCTCGTCGCGGGCGGGGGGACGGGTGGAGGCGGAGCCGCGTCGTCGATCGGGCTCCCCTCTCGCCCCGTCTCTCTCACCGCGCGGTTTCGCTGCGCTCGAGGTTTATGGGGTGGGAGAGGGTTTTGCGGTTTCGCACGCGCGGGTTCGTGCGTCCCCTGTTCTGGCCATTTTTTTTCGCGTTCTAGGTCCTCCGTTTATGGAGTAGTAGCGTCGCGCTCGATTTCGGAGGCCGTCGCCCTGGCGCGCGGCCGCGTCTCTGCTCTTGTGGCAGAGTGCCTGGAATGCTTCGCTGATTTTGGTCCTACTAGTGCGTTCGGATCGTCCGCGGTTGGCCGCCATGTACAGCGTGCTGTTCCCCCTACGATAAGGGGGTGTGCCATCCTGTTTCACGGTTCTCCATTTAGAGGATCGAATTTGTTGTTGAATCATTATTATGTTGTGCATCTTTGATGATTGTTTAATCTGTGTGTGCTGTTTGGGTTGAGGATATGGTGGATGGTTTCGTGTTTTTGTTAAGAAATTGAGATGTGGTGGTCGGTGTAAGACAGTGCATCAGCGGCTTGTAATGTTGTGCTGTGTCCCTGTGCGGTGCGGTGATTGATCAGTTTGCTTTGATACTTCCCTTAGTAAGCGATTGTAATTGTTGGATTTGCATTTGGAGTCTCTGAGCATTCTGAGCAGGGACAAGCAGTATTGGTCTCAGTGCTGTACATGAGAGAAGTATTTTACAGGGCTTACTGGTAAAAATGCGTAGGTGGCTTCTGTCACCTTCACATTAGAATTATGCACTGTCCATAGCCCATTTTATTTTCAGACAGTAGGCAGCCTCAGGCAATTCCCCAAAGCTATTGTTCCTAGCTGTATGCGAGTAAATTACCAACGTTACGTTAGTCCCTTTCTGCCATTGCCTTTTTTCTGTGGATAAGATGATGTGTTCCTCTTACTGTAGGCTTACATTTTGACGGCATGGTAGTTTGTTTGTGTATCTTCTTAAGTAAAAGATGCAGTGCGTGTTGGTTTTATTTTGCTCTGCTTTCATCTCTGGTTCATGTTCTGGTATCTCAGTTTGTCATTGGTAACCTTCACCAAACATATACCCATCTCCACTTGTAAGTTGCACGAGCTACTGGTAGAATGCTGGCCTTTTCAGTTAGAATACAATGTATTTTATTTTTCGTACAGTATGGATTTTCTGAATTTCGAAATGAATTCAGCTCACTCTTGGATAAAATCTGACTTGCGTTTACCTTTTTGTATTAGCAGAGGTTTTGCTGTTTCAGAACTTTTGAACTAGAAAGATGGTACTCTCCTCAACAATTGCCCCTCAGAGTAAGGTCACAGAACTGACGGATGATACCAAGTATGATTCCTTGAATCTGGAGCAGAAGAAAAAAGCGTGGCCTATGGAACGGCACAGATCTGCTGAAGTGAGTCAAGCAATCTTATCTAAGATAGGGCATGATGGTTTTCAACTTTGTCATCAGCCCCAAATCCCGGAGATCGTTAAAGGTGGTTGTACACCAATATCTTCATGTGATCCTTCTGGAGAATTCACTGCAGACAGCAATGGAATGCACAGGCACACAATCACAGATGCTGCTTGGGAAGCCCTAAAGCAATCAATAGTTTACTTCAAAGGTCAGCCAATTGGGACTCTTGCTGCAATAGACAAGTCTCAGGCAGAACTCAACTATGACCAGGTTACCTTTTCCTTCCCAGTCGAACCATTGTTTTTTTCGTCCTTGGTAGTTATGAACATTCCTTACTCTATTCTACTGTATTTTTTAGAGCAAAATTCTCGAATAGCGAACATTGATGCTTTTAGTTATTGTCTCTTGTGTAAAGCACCTACTGTGTGTCTCATGAAAAAAACTTGTAAATCTCCTTGTACCCTACATACATTATTATCAACAGTGCTGAAATTCTTGCCATATCCTGGAACAGGTTTTCATGAGGGATTTCGTTCCTAGTGCCTTGGCTTTCTTGATGAAAGGGGAACCAACGATAGTGAAGAATTTCCTGGTAGAGACTGCTCGCCTTCAATCAAGAGAGAAGATGGTTGATCTTTTTAAGCTTGGACAGGGTGTGATGCCAGCAAGCTTCAAGGTGCACCATTCCCACCCTACGAAGAAGACTGAAACTCTGCTTGCTGATTTTGGTGAAATTGCTATCGGGCGAGTTGCTCCTGTGGATTCTGGCCTATGGTGGATTTTTCTTCTTCGTGCTTACACCAAATATACTAGGGACAGTTCTCTGGCTGAAAGTCCTCACTGCCAAAGGGCCATGCGCCTTATTCTCAAGCTATGGCTCTCTGAAGGCTTTGATACATCTCCAGCATTACTTTGCGCTGATGGTTGCTCCATGATAGACCGCAGAATGGTAAGCCACTCATAGACACCGCTACATAAATGTGTTTTGTTATTATTGTTCACATTATGTCTTGTGCCTGCCTGCTTACCATGAAAATTGAAATTGTCCCCTTATCCCATTAGTTTTATTACAAGGTAACTGTCCAGGCACATTCTTACAAATGCACTCTTGATCAGAATTGAAATTACATTAAGCTCGTTAGGATTATGTGAGTGCTTATAAGGATATTCTATGTGTACAAATGAGATAAGGAATCTGAAATGTGATCAGTCTGAACATTAGGAATCATACATTGCACAATAATGCAGTAGTTTTGAAAGTATGAGCACTGTGTAGTTATGAACAGCATACTTTCAGATAAGTGAATGCCATCAATCAAGTGTTGAAGAGATAAGGCGATTCGTTTTAGTCACGTATCACGGCTCTTATTGAGATTGGGACTGGAAACAAAGTTCACCTTAGATTGCATAATAATGTTGTACAAGGTCAAGTAAATAGCACGGATCATCTTATGAACTTTGGATGGGGAACTATCTGAATGTATACCTTAAGCATTTGTTCATGGCCATATTTTCTCTTGCTTGTATTAATTAAAATGCGTGCAGGGTATATACGGCTATCCGCTTGAAATCCAGGCACTCTTCTTCATGGCTCTGAGATGCGCCTTGAGTTTGCTGAAAGACTCTGATGACGACTTTGTGTACCAAATAACAAAGAGGATCAAAGCTTTGAGCTACCATCTGCACAGTTACTACTGGCTCGACTTCCAAAGACTCAACGACATCTATCGCTACAAGACCGAAGAGTACTCGCAGACAGCTCTGAACAAGTTCAATGTGATCCCTGAATCGATCCCTGACTGGATATTTGACTTCATGCCTAGCCGTGGTGGCTACTTCATTGGAAACGTCAGTCCTGCAAGGATGGACTTCCGCTGGTTCTGCTTGGGCAACTTCATTGCGATCCTGTCATGTTTGGCAACTGGAGAACAAGCTGAGGCAATATTGGATCTCGTGGAGGAACGCTGGAAAGAGCTTATTGGAGAGATGCCCCTGAAGATCTGTTACCCTGCAATGGAAAACCAGGAATGGCAGATAGTCACTGGATGCGACCCAAAGAACACCAGATGGAGCTACCACAACGGAGGGTCGTGGCCAGGTAAGTCTGAAAATAGTTTGATTAACAACACATTATAGTTCAAAATTTGTGCTGGCTTGGGAGTAATATTGATCTGTTTTAGCTAGCTATTCTGTCCAGCTTAGCTGTCAAGGATTGATTTATGGATGATTCCTTTGTGAACCTTGTTTAAGTTACAGTCTTGACACAGTAGCTCTTACAAAGTAAACAAATACTACCTGTCTGGCAATCATATTGTGTTTGAATGTAGCATAGTATCTGATTATGGTGATTTTTTAGGCATTTGTCTTCAGAAAAGGGTTGTGTACAGTATCTGTATTTCCAGGAATCTAATTATGACACCCTGCACAGCTGCAATATCATGCCCCCCCTAAAACACATGAGTTTGTTTTACTTTTTGCCCTTGGTGGTTACTGGTTTTGGACTTGAGGACACACATGTGTTAGTTGTTAGTATTCACTTTTTATTTTTATTTTTGCAGGATAGTTAGTGTTCACTTTTCTGTTCTGCTTTATACCTGTGGTTAGTCTACGTACTGGTTCAGGACTTGAGGGCACACTTGTGTTGTGTGGTGGTATTTTACTTTTCTGCTCGGTTTTATACCTGTCCATGGTGTATATATGAATGACCTGAAATCAAATAACCCTCATAGGAGATTGATAGTTTTTATCAAAAAAATAGGAGATTGATAGTTTAGCTCATATAGATGATCTTATAGTGAACAGCTTCAGTTGTTTGATGCATGTCACTGCTTTTTATCGCCATATATAATGTCCATTCAGTATTAGCTCCTTGGATATGTGCCCATGCACTGTATGCTCTTCTTTCCATATATGCACTACATTTCTACTGTATATGGCAATGTGCTTACCCTCTGATGTCCTGTTTCGGGGGCGCGCGCAAACTAAACTGTGCAGTGCTGCTGTGGCTCCTGGTGGCGGTGAGCGTGAAGCTGGGGCGGCCCCACATCGCCCGCGACGCGGTGGAGCTGATGGAGAGGCGTCTGGCCAAGGACGACTTCCCCGAGTACTACGACGGCAAGACGGGGCGGTACATCGGGAAGCAGTCGCGCAAGTTCCAGACGTGGTCGGTGGCGGGCTACCTGGTGGCCAAGATGCTCCTGGACGACCCCTCCAACCTCCGCGCCGTCTCCCTGGAGGACGACGGCCACATCCGGGAGCCCGTCCTCAAGCGCAGCAACTCCTGCCCGGCCCTGCACATATCGCACTGACACTACAGGTTTCGGCTCACTCGGATCCGATGGAGAGGAGGTACATTACACTACATACGATACGAACGTCGCAACGAAGTTTGGCGTGCGTGACAGGTTCAGACGCATCTCTGCATAGATCCCTGTATTGGGAGAGGAACATTTCTCTTTTTTTTAGTCTCGCTGCTGTCACTCGTTACTTACGGTAGTAAAGAAACATTGGTAAGTAGTAGGATCGATGGAACGGTTACTGGATTTTGGTAGTAAGTAGCTCGGGTTATTCCGCGTGCACAGATTTTGGGTGGGGATGGAACATGTTCGTCGAGCGTGGTTACTGATGAAATGATGAATGAAATGACACTGAATGTTGATGGACGATCGATGATGGCACGCCGTTGGCTTATTCTGTGTGTGGTCGTGGAAGTGTTGTTGTTTTGGAGATGGTGATAGTGATGTGTGAGTTACTCGCCATACCTGCTTGTTTTCTTTTGTTTTTTTTTTCTCTTTTGCGATCAGCCATACCTGCTTGTTGATCAGCCCTTTTAGCCTTTTCGTATGTGGCTGCTTCTCGTTGGGATGTCGTTGCCACACGACGGTACTCGGGATTGTGGCCGAGCAATCCTGTAAACCTCAAGCATACGCGTGCCTTCATTGTTAAAAGCATGTGAGCACGCTACACGGACCTACACGTATCCGTTTACAGCATTTTTTTTAGATCGTTTACATCATATTAACTGGCACGACTGACCATGTCGTGCTCGTTTACTAAGAACATTGAACCAAATTGTGCTTTCATGCCCCAGGGAAAAAGTAGAAGAATTTCAGGAAAGGAAAAAGTTGAGACGTAATTAGCCTAAAGACATAGGCAATGCGGATCATCAAATGGATATCATCAAATATCCATGGACACGTCATCCAATCGTGTCCTCCAAATTTTCATATTCGTTTTGTTTCCTCCTCTTTTTATCAAATCTATCTTGATAAATAGCAATTCGATCCTACATTTAAATAGTTGCAAACAAATGATACCATTAGCAAACATGTATGTTTATCAAGTTGTTTACATCCTTCGAAACCCAGAAG